AAAATTCCAAAAGTGTTTGGGATTGGAATTAATCTCTGATTCCGTTTTGTTGATGTACATATTATAACATTCAGAAATAATTCTCTTGCATTCTGCTCTAAAAAAAACAAAGTCAGTATAATCTCTAATATCGCCAGTTATTTTAAATCGACGATGCGCACTGTTTTTCTTTTTTACAAGATTACGAGCCTCACAACTAAACCCCACCGGAAACTTTTTGCTCCTTGATTTCCGCATAGATACAAAATTATCACAGATGAAAGTTAGATAACAATAAAATACATTCACAATGTCACTAATATTATTGTCATCGTTAGTAAAATGGCAATCACAATTATACAGATAATTATTAATTATATCATAATTGCAGTTTTTAAAATCGTAATAAATATCACAGAAATTATCACTAGAATTTTCACAGCCCGTTATTACCAGCTTAAATGGGGGATGATGTTTATCTATTTTTACAAGTTCTTGAGTACTACTTATAACAATATTATCACAGTTAGAATAACAGAGATCTAAGATATTACCACTGCAATTAGCACCGTCATTGAATTGATAAAGATCATAAGAAACAAAATTATCACATATAAGAATTTCTTTTTCTGACCTTACATTGATTGGAATAAGACCTATAATTTCGTGGTCATAAATCCATTTTACCTCCGATTAAAATCACCAAGAATGAAAATTAGACTGTACAAATTGTTGTAACAAACGAACTTTACCTTATTAACATAAGTTTCATACAATTCTGCCGAAATATCAGGCGGTAGGTATATAGCACAGAAAACTAATATTTTATGATTGATTTGCAAGGTTACCCACAAATTTTCTAGCTCAGAAAACAAATTCATTTTACTTGATTGAAAATTCTTTTTTACAGCTATAAGTACCTCGCCTCCAATGCTCTTCGTGCTGTTGCTTTCAGAGCGGTCCGTCCTGTACACAATATGTCTGTTATCTATAAATTCATTATCTTTGATATCTGGATGCAACCATGTCTCTGATGATGTTCGAAATTTAATCCACTCAATGCTAAATAGACTAGCTCAATCATTTCCCAAAACGAAGCTTATAACCATATTGTCAGCACTACGTATGTTATTTGAAATCACAATTGTGTCCAAGCGTACATGTAATAAATTTTTGTGTTAATGTTACTCTTATTTTGTCTTAGGTCTTGAAATAATAATGCAATTATAAGTTCCTTTAATATATTTAAATAAATTTTGCTTATAGTTATGATCTCAAAATTATATAGACACTCCATAATACTATATTAGCCCAATTTATAATAGCAAAAAGTAATAGAAAATGAACATAAGAGTACGCTTTTTCATGGAATGCGACTGTACAATACTTAGAGTGTAGTCATCAATTTTGCACGTTGCTTTAATAAACTTTATGATTATAAAATACACAATAAATTCATTGCTAGGAAAACATGTTTCGAAGATTTAGGAATTGTATTTGGTGAGAAATTTCATTTAATAACCATGCTAATAACTTAATTGAGAAATCTTACAGAACATTAGGTTTCGTCTTGAAAAACTGCAAAGAAATAAGTGACATAAAATCACTTTATAATTCAATCATTTGATCTAGATTCAAATACTGCGCTCTTGTGTGGTTTCCTCATTATAATCACAAACAATTGTATTAGAAAAAGTGCAGAGCAAATTTCTAGAAGTCCTTGCTAGCGCTTTTGGCGGAAATACCTTTTCCATCCCTTGCACCCGCAAGGGCCTCCTCTTTGAATACAGAGTATTTAGGACCACCAGGTAAATTCGTAGACATACATCATTCATTCATTCATCAATCACTCACTCAACATTCATTTCTGGACCAAACGGTCATACACATTCCATCATTAATCTTTTCTCACGAATCAATAAACATATATAGTACTGTTCGTTATTCTTATTCATAACTACAACTTTAACTTCACAAGTCTGGAAAAAATGACCAAACAGAAACTGTCCCCAGGATAATTATTACTTCTATGTTCAATACGGAATCATTACAAAGCAGAACGATAATTTCAGCTGCATTGTTTTTTCAGAAACTTGTAAATAACAAAACTGATAGTTCAACATTGTTAAATTTAGTACCGTTTGCTGTACCTACAATGAGTTATAGAAATTGGCGAATTTTGTATTCCTGTGTTCATTTTTCATTATTTCAAAATAGTTATAATAATAATAATAATAATATTAATATATATATTTAACCCAAGAACAAAATACAAAATGTCCAAGAAGGGTATCATTTAGGACACACTTTAAGATAATAAAGAATTAATTAATTAAAATACATATTGTGCCTAATTAAAAAATTAAAGAAATATAAGATACTAAATAAGTATCTAACTTACAATAATACACGCATTTTAAGTGCTGCTGAAATATCAGAATAGATTTTTTTTTTATTTAGAAAGATATCTGCAAATATTTGTAACTCATTATAACTATAATGTACACATCAATAATATAGGTGAATTTTTATCCTGGTTAGTTCGTGCACTTGAACAATAAAAAGTTGTCTATGTTGTTATGAATGATGATAATAATAATATTAATAATAATAATAAGAAATTTTCTTGATACATATAATGCTATACAGCTTTGTACATGTCAAGTTTATACAATTGAGAATACTACATGAAAACAACAGTAGGATCCGAGGTAGGATCTAATAGAAATTCGTTATTGTCATAGTAAGCTTTAGATACTAAAAATGACTTTACAGTATCTTTAAAGGTTGTTAAATTTACTTACTCTTAATCTTTTCCTGTAAAGAAGATCTTTCAGACGAGTGTTATGATTGTGTACATCGCCATGATATCTATAAGCTGCCACATTTTCCCTAACATCCAAAAGACAATTGAGAATATATAATAAACATGGAAAAGTGAGTATACTAAGTTCAGTGTAAGCCATTTTGCAATTTCCCCTATATTTGAGCCTAGCAATTATCCTGATTGTCCTGCGTTGCAAACCAAAAGATGCGATGTCTTATCACAGAATGTCCCCAAAGCTGACCCCATACAAAATATGTGATTCACAAAGTGCGAAATACGCTACCCGCAATATTTTAGGTGGTACTCGATCTTTTAGATTTCGCAAAAGAAATATTCCTTTTGACATTTTGCTAGCAATCATTTCGCCGTGAATACCCCACTTCAACTTCGAGTCAATATATCATCCTAGAAATTTTACTGAGTCGTCATAATTATTAATATCTACCTTTTTTAAGGTAAAAAGCATATTCCTATGAAACCAGTCCCAAGCTTTCGAATATGTGTTTTTACTCAAATGGACAACAGTTGGTAAAGAGGTTGCTTTATTCATTAAGGTTGCATCATCTGCATAAAAAATTGAGTTCAAATTTAAGTGGTTCGGTAAGTCATTTATGAACACTAGAAATAGGCGTGTAGCATAAAACTTGCATCAGCGCCCTCATGCGGCCAATTTTGCATATTTGGTAGATAAACACCCCGCCGTCAGTACCCAGTACTCTATCGCGTGCTTAATTATTGTTTTTATGCGACTTCAGTCGTGGTTTAGCGTTATTGAAGATGCAAAATGCTATATTTGAGATTGAAAATGGACGTAATAATTCAGTTTGGGTTCCAGGCAGTACAATATAAACATTACATCGCGGAAAAAGGTTCATGTTCGTTAGTTACGTGTACTAACAATAAATTAAAAACTGCTAAAAAAAATCCACAAAGGCATTTTTTCAGTACTTTAACAGAACACTGTCCATGAAACCCTTTGCATTTGATATTGTCTGAATTTCCCTCTTTTTTATTTCTAGTTTCTTTCATAATATTACATTCAACATTTACTGGAATAACAAAGATTTATTCAAGATTTAGTTCTAATAAATGATTGTTAAGTATTTTTAAAACACCAAAAAACTCATGCATTCAAATGGATGTTTCGATTGTTTAATTACTTGGCGGTAGAGGGCGCTGAAGTCAAATGTGCTACACGCTTATAGCAGTGGGCGGAGGATGGAACCTTGAGGCACACCTCTTTCTATTGAAAGTCTATGGGACATTTTGTCATTTAATTTGACAACCTGTGATCTGTTGCTGAGATACGGTTTTATAAGATCTATACTTTGAATATTACGTTATCCGGTTTGGTACTCCAAACAAACCATAAAACTAATTACAAAGAAGCGCAACTTATACTGCAACTATAAATCATTATCGAACATGTTTGTTTATAACAAATATAAGGAACTAAGAAAAATATCAAAAATTGAAATTGCCAAAAATTATGTCAGGTATTTGCGTTACATACAATCAAATATTCATTCTGACTGTAAGACTTTTTTTTTAATTTTTCAATAACAAAGTAAATCCAACTTCCATATTCCCAATATAATGAACTACGGCAATGAATCTTCTTCCAATCCAATTAGTAATCTGTTCGCAAAATTCTTCAAATCTGTCTACAAAACTCATAATAATGAGATTATTATGAGTTTTTTTTTATTTGATAACAGTAATAGCTTAGATAATATTGAAATATCCCCAGATATTGTTTCTAACAAATTAAATAAAATCAAAGCAAGTTTTAACCCAGGTCCTGACGGTGTAGCATCTTATCTTCTTAAGCAATGCAGTCGCAGTTTAGCGTGGCCCCTCTCGATTATATACTCTGAATCCATCTCTGAAAGAGTGTGTCCTTCACTTGGAGGATCTCATATGTTTTACCCCTTTTTAAATCTGGAGATAAATCTAGCATTACTAATTACAGACCAATCTGCATAATTCCAGGCTTATGTAAAATTCTAGAATTAATAATTTCAGAAACACTCTTCGCTACATTCGGAAATAAACTCTCATTCCAAATATAGGGAGAAGCGCAATAGGTCGGTAATTGGAAGGATCGTTCTTATTTCCTTTTTAGGTTGACAGCGTTCTTAAAAAAGAAGCATGATATGATTATGAAGCCAAGAAGTCAAAAGTGCTTAGGAGAGAGGAATTGTTGAAATTTTTGAAAGAAGCTCCTGACGAAAAATTTCTCATGATGAAGGTACATACAGGCTTTTATGTTTTAAAACTTGGAATACTAATTGATTTAATGTAGGTTGTTGTTGCATTTGGAGTGGCGGGAGCCTGCAGGAGTGAAGAGATGCACGAAATGCAGATAACGAGTATCCGAGAAGAAGGAAATGTCCTAGTTGTTACACTTCCGCATACGAAAACTCACCAGAAGCGTGTATTTACGGTTTTGTCCGAAGGCTGTGTAAATGGTATAGAGTTACATAGAAAATATGCGGCTCTCCGACCATCGAAAGTCACACATCCCTATGTATTTTTAGGAATGCGCAATGGAAAATGTACAGTACAGCGAGTAGGCATCATTAGTTTCTATCGCATGCCTGGAGTGATTGCCGAATACCTGAAACTTGAAAACCCGGAACAATACATGGATCATTCTCTAAGAGGATCTTCAGCAACTATTTTGGCGGACTAGGGAGCTGACATGACTACGCTTAAAAGGTTTGGTGGATGGTCCTCTGATAAAGTTGCAACAGACTACGTGGAAGATTCTTTAGAGCAGAAGATAAAAATTGCCCGAAAAATACTACTCCTAATAGATTCTTCTGTCAGTGTGTCTTCATGTGATGTTGTGGAAAATGGTGTGGAAACGGCGACGAAGGAGAACCACTCCGTTGAACTTCAAGAACCATCGACTGGTTCTGCATCGGTTTTTGAATATCATAAATATGCGTACATTTTCATAATAAATAGTGGTTTATTAGTAAATTCGTAAAGCAATGAAATACTGGTCTCTTAGCAATCAGTATCTCATTCGATAAGATACTGAAACCAGTATCTTATTCGATGATATATTGATGTATTTTAGCAACGCCAAACAATGCTAATAATAGATTGAGTGTAAGCAGGTATAGGAGAACTTTATTTATTTAATTAAAACATTTTTGTGCTTTGCTTTCTAAATACGTTTTTACGTAAGAAATGAATCTTCGGCTTCCATTTCATCCTGTGTTTTGAGTTTTAGCAGCAGCTGCATCTCTTCCGCGTGTCTCTAGTTTTTTTTCGATCAACATTTTTTCCACTTCTTTCCGACTTTCTGTCATCTTCAGCCGTCTTTTTTCGTACGATAGTAGTTCGAATCGTTTATCTTCGGCCATCTTCGCCAACAATTCTTCTTATATTTAGCATCTTCTCTTTCTATCATCTGGTGCATCAGAGACTCCCGGACTTCGATTGTTTGTCTTAAAGCTTTTTCAACGCTGGCTCTGTGCTGTTGTTCTATAGCTTGTCTTTATTTTTCTTCGTATAGTTCTTGCATGATTTCTTCTCGTTCTTTTCGTTACATCTCTTGTTCCTGGAGCTGTTTTGCTATATTTTCAATTAATTTAGCTTTCACTGCCTCCATTTCACTCTTCTTCGGCTCCCTAGACTGCATCTCTATCGCCTTATTTGTTAAGAATTCATGTATCCTTTGATTTTTTTTTATCAATTTCTTCCTTCTCCTTGTTCCTCCAAATCTGCTGCGCTTTCTTAAACGCATCCATTTCTTCCTTGGTCTTCTGCATTTTATATATCTTCTCCATACGTTCTCTCACATCTTCAGCAAATATCCGTTGCACAGTATCATCAATGATCAATTTGACGCGCATGTTGCAAAAAAGTGTCCTCGTAAAACAAAGTATCCCGTATGGTTCACATCTCAAATTATAGCTAATTTAAGAAACAAAGAAAATTATAGACGTAAATGGATAACAACTCACAATGCAACATATCAACTTGAATTTAAACGTCTTCGCAGTCTAGTGAACATGAAGATTTCTGAAGCTCATAATTCTTAGTTCAAAGAAATCTAAAGTCAAATCCTTCTAATTTATGGAACTATTTAAACCAACGATGTAGTTCTACAAGAATTTCTGGTCGAGTTCACAATGGTTTAACCGAATACACTGATCCACAAAGTATAGTCAATGCTTTTGCAGAAATTTTTTCGACATCATACTCAAATGATTCTGCACATTCCATCTCAATCTTCAAGTAACGCTTTACCATTTCAATTTCCTTACGTCAGTCCACTTGAACTTATGAATATAATGTTCAAATTTTATGATAAATTCACAGCGGGAGATGATCTAATCCCGAGTTTCATTATTCGGGATTGTAGATATGCATTTGTAGAACCATTGTCAATTATTTTCAACCTTGCCATTAAAATTTCAACCTTTCCATCAAAGTGGAAATAAGCCAGGATCTGCACAATTTTGAAGAAAGGTTCAGATGTGTTAAATTACCCCTATCAGCATGGCTTTGTTAGTGATTGGTCTACAGTTAGTAATTTAGCCACTATCACGAAATATTTAAGTGAAATCATTGCTATTGGAGGTCAAGCTGATGTAGTCTACACTGATTTCACTCGAGATTTTGATTCAATTCAACACAGTATCCTTTTGCAAAAGCTGGATTTGTATGGATTGTCGAAGGATTCACTGCTGTTAATGCGTTCTTATTTAAATCTTCTTACGTTACTTATAGTGGTTATGTATCTTATAAATTCTCAGTTAATTCCGAGGTTCCGCAGGGCTCTAATCTTGGACCTGTTTTATTCATTTTGTTTATTAATGAACAATTTAACTGCCCAGTCCTTGCATACGCCGATGATATTAAACTATGTCACTCCATAGATAGTGCAGTTAATGTAGATATTTTGCAGAATAATATCAATCTAATGATTAGTTGGTGTGATATGTTTAAGTTACCACTGGACAAGGAAAAATGCTTTTTTGTCAAATACAGCCGTAAAAAAACTTCAATTCAATCGTTCTATGTATTGGGAAACCCTATTATTAAACAAAAGAATTGCATCAAGGATCTAGGAGTAACTTTTGATTCCGAATTATCATTCCTTCCACATCAGGTTGTTTGTACATCGACGTATAAATCATTAGGTTTTGTTATGAGAACATGTAGGCATTTTTTTGATTTAACTTTAATTAAACAACTTTATTTTGCTTATGGTTAAGTAAAATTGAGTATGAAAGCCTTGTATGGAACCCTATTTATGACGGTTTTTAAAATATTTATCATTTAAAATTGATGGATTTTATCCACAGATTGGTACTGATCAGCAAAATTTGCGAATTTTGGAACATCAATTGCCTCATAATACTTTATTCTTCCTTTGTGAGATCTAAACTTGAATACGCTTCATTTATCTGGTCACCCATATATCAGACCCACGCCGAACAACTGGAAAGAGTGCAGCAGCGCTATTTAAAATACCTAGCTTTTAAATGCGACGTGTATCCAGAACGCGGTTTTCCACATTCGTCTCTCCTTGATAGGTTTCAACATTTATCGCTCAAGCTAAGATCTGAGATTAGTTTCATTAAAATGCTGTACAATATACTACATAATAAAATATACTGTACAGAGATAACAGAGCAAGTTACGTGCAAAGTACCAAAATATCATACCCGTGTAAAAGCATTATTTCACCTGGAGCGACTTAGAAGAAATATGTTTAAAAAGTCTCCTATATTATGTCATGCTTAGATTGTTCAACGACATTGCTGCGGACTGTGATATACATTTTGATTTATTAAGTGTAATTATTAGACAGCGGATTTCTGTCGGGCCTGGCAAGGCCAAACTCGGTACGGCTCGTGCGAGATGGGAATTCAGTGCAGTTACGAGCTGCACTTTGTTTATTTTAGAATAGAATAACGGTGTTTCGTTATACTTTGCTGTTAATTCCCGTTCTCATTTACTTAGCCGTTTTACAAATTAAGTTTTCGTTAATTGTATTTATGGAATAAGTGAAGATTAAACGTACTAATTATCGCCCGCTACTGAATCGCAGCGATTCACGCGTCCCCATCAATAATCGTGACGTAGCCCGACAAAAATCCGCTCTCTAGTAATTATTAAAAGAATTATAGCAAATAACATCTAAATGTCCCACTGAGACTCCAGACACATTTCAACATTAATGCTTTGTACTATTTTGAATTTCCATCTTTTTTTTTCCCTCGCTTTTTTCTGATCGTTGTCCAGTAATTGGAACAGTAGTTCTGTTTGGGCAATAGTTTTCTAATAATAATAATAATAAGTCGACATAATATGAAGTCATTATTACAAAGGAGAGAAATGTGCTGTGCAAAATTTGCTTATAATTTAATACATAATAAAATTGACTGTTCATTTTTACTTTCTGAATTACCATTTTATGTGCCACGTTTAGTATCAAGATATGAAGCAAGTTTTCAAGTGCCAACGGCGAGAACAAATATTTTACAACGTTCACCGATTCATGTCATCAAGCTGTAGATAATGTATATGATGATATATTTTGTTAGGGTCACTTATAAGTTTGTTGTATTTTGATTTTTTTTGTCTTAATTTTCTTTATTTAACTTAATTTTGTTAAACACACTTCTTAATTGTTATTAATGTTGTCCTATAAGTGGTAAATTCTATTGGACAATAATGGGCATATTATTATTATTATCAATAAAAAAGTGCAAAATCTGAAAGACAAAAAAAGTTAAACAGTATTTCTACAATACCTACACTTTATTTCGTTGCTTTTTTAAAGCAGTAAATTAATATCATTACTCTTGGTTAATAAATAAAACAGTTACTAGAGGTATCTCTTTTCAGCTGACTCACTGTACACCTTTTAATAAATTCGTTACATAGCATAGTGATTAAAATGACGTGCGTAAGATCACAGAATTTCATATAAAAAACCTACAAATCGATAGAACATACATACTCGTACATACGTACATTCGCGATTTTTATGTTTTCAAAACGTCGCATGAATAAAACTTTTTCTAATAAAAACGCTTTTTATTAAATCGTACAGACCTATTATTACAGCAATCTTGGATTAAAGTAGAATCTTTAAATGTTTAATCCGTAACATTAAACCGAGCAATAATCATTTAAACGTAACACATGCATAAACAAACAGTTTCAGGCACAAACCTGTGTGAAACTTCAGCTTTGTTGTATTTTCTTCTGTATTCTAATTTTTAAGAATGATAACTCACCTGCATTTTTCTCACAACTCCTTCCACTTGAGGTGGTTCTAATCTCATACGGTGAAATATTCGTAGTGACGGTGTCGATCCATCAGTGTTCTTCGGCAAGCTACATTTAGCCACCGAATCATTTCCAGAAACGTAGTACATCTGCACAACGGCTTGATCATTCTTTAGTGCTAAGAGACCTTGCCACATACATGGAAATTGCTACGGACGAAACAAAACCCATTAGAACCTTTCTCATTACAACCCATAGGAATTACCTTCAGAAGCGTGAAAAGACTGTAATTCATTCCTGGTGGTAACTTAATGGCGTGAGGAGGCGTAGCCCCTTCCAACTCCACTTGACTAGCGGGAGCACCAACGACTGTATGTATAGACAAATAACTCCGGTATGTCTCGCGACAGCTCCCACTAGGTTACCTGCAGCCACAGAACACTCACTAACACACCCACAATGCAGATGCACAACACAGATGCAGAATGTGATGGCGAGCGATGCGCAGATGACGTCACAAGGGCGCAATGGAAGGGTAATTCCAGTGGCGTGACACTGGTTTGCGGTTCGTAGAGGGCGTAAAAGCCATCGTATGCTAAGAAAAAATCTTATGGACGCCAGTGCACTCTGTTATTGTACTCTGCTGGGTGGGATGAGTTTACAAAAGCGTCAACTGCGCACCCCCCACGCTCGCCATTACATTCTGGGTTTGCTGTATGTCTATGTGTGAGACAAAACTACAAAATAATGAGCACTGTGCTCGCTCGTAGTATTGCGAGAGTGAAGTGCCAAAGTGTACAAAAAAACCCTCCAATTTTCCAATTTTCAGGTCTCTGAAAAATTCCGCTACATTGCTAGGTTTTTTGTGCTATCGCCGCTACACCGCTCTTTGGTCAAAATTCCGCTACGTTTGGCAACACTGCTCCCTCAATACATACAGTATTAAAAATATATAAAATTATAAATGTTGTGAGAACCCAAACTTCCCGCCTTTAAATTGACCTTGAAAAAGTTTGAAAGAGCCGCGAAAAATTCAAAAATTCAAAATTTGGCCTTGGCTGTGATCGTCTAACAAATGAGAACTTACATACGTTGTTTTTTTTTTTTCATACAGGCGAGCATACACTACGTGTGATTCGAGAGCGCAAGAAATAATAAACAAAATTGTTTTGGAGGGGCTAACACGACACCCCTCTCAGGAGGAAAGAAGCTGCGAGGATTCATTCCTCAGCCCCAAAAACCTCCTATCGTATACTCCCGGACATATTACATTTCAAACACCTTAAAAATATGAAAGAAAAGACACTCGCGAATTGATAGACATACACATACGAAAAACGAACAAACGCAAAATCCTATGCATCTGTTTGGAATCAATCCAAATATTTGAATATCACAAATTTAATAAAAACAAAGCAAAATCTGAATTAAAGTAACTGGATGCAAATACACAAGTTATTACGGGCGTATGGCGTCAAATTTAAAGTTACGGCAGTTAACAGGAGCACAACAAAAATACTCCTGGGGCGTTCTAGCATAAGCGGAGTTTGGGGCTACCGGTCTGGGGCTGTTCTCCCCCCACGACGGTCATTCTATCTATCGCAAAGCCTACTCGCACTAACACCTCCATTACGAACATGCTGTGCGAAACTAGGCCATTACGGTCGCCAGACCCGTAGATGGATATAGGCTAGCACGAAGCCGAGAACGTTACAACATCGGCGGCCGCCCCTGAATCTATCCAAACCTGTGGACTTGTACAAGTGACACGATAAGATCTCGCCAGCTCGACTAGGAACCGAACTTCGCTTCTGCCACGTTTTCTGTATTATTTAACCAAGAACATAAGTTTTCCAGCCTATGTTGACAGATTAATTCCAGTAGTATTTTTTATTTTATTTTTTACAAAAGAATGGTAAGTATTTGTAAAAAAATTGGTCTAAAGAGTTTAGACAGTACTTCCCTCGCTGTTGGAAACCTGACGACTGCATGCCTATTATGTTTTTTTGTTGCACATTTAAGATAGCATTTATTCAGCAAAATTTTGAGGTGACGCATCAATTTTTTAGGGGAGGAGGAGCAAATACATTTTGACTAAAAATTTACCATGACTATGATAACTTTAAAACATCTCCAAGACTTCAAATCATTCGGTTTTGTGGTTCCTGATTAAATCAATAAAATAAATCACGCATTCATTAATTTTTTTTAATCACCCTGTATATGCAAATCCAAAAAATATGAATGGTATGATAAATCGAATAATACTACAGACTCATCAGATTTTGCACATTTAAGATAGGATTTATTCAGCAAAATTTTGAGGTGACGTCATCAATTTTGTAGAGGGGATAAGTAATTATATTGTGATCAAAATTTTATCATGCTTATCATAACTGTAAACCATCTGCAAGATTTCAAAGCATTTGGTTTTGTAGATTCCAAATTAAATGTCAAAATGTTGTTTCCTAATTTTCATTTTTTTTTCCAAAAATCTAGACGTTTCGGGTAAAATCTCAACTGGGAGTCCTAAACTACATGTGTAAGACTATGTTATTTGATACAATTTAAAACCCAATTACTATGTACAATTTTGAAATGACGTCATCACATTAGTGGCGGGGATGACTAGACAAATTTTGGTTAGCGTTTTACCAACTACATGATATACCTAATATAAATACAAAATTTGACAACAATCGGCCCAGTACTTTCGGAGATTATCTGTCTAATAAAAATCCGGGACGGCAGACAGACGGACAGACGGACAAACAGACGGAAACGGGAGACCTATTTCTTCGTCCTCTAGGGGTCATGATAGGTTGAGAAAATGCAAAAGTAGAGAGTCGGCCGACGGACTCGATTACAATACTTCCTTTGCTTACGCTCGGGAAGTAAAAAAGCATTAAGGTTTTGTGTAAATTACTTGTAAATATCTCAAACGATAACGGAAAGAAATGAACTGTTTAGTATGTACAGAACATATAAATTTGATCCACTTTTCGAATATTTAATAGTTCCGAATCTGTTATTCATAGCCACATGGCGTTCCCTATAACGTGATCGGATCCAAGCAAAAGGGAAACTAAGACCGAAGTGTTCTGTTAAAGTACTGAAAAAATGCTTAGCCTTTGTGGATTTTTTTAGCAGTTTTTAATATATTGTTAGTACACGTAACTAATGAACATGAACCTTTTTCCGCGATGTAATGTTCATATTGTACACCACGAAGGTAGAAGAGACCGGAGGGAAGGTGTCGTGAATTTTGTGACACAGACTCAGGCACCGTTTATGACCCTACTTGAAATGCGCGCTGTGCTAAGCTCCACCCTCTAAATGTTTAGCAGTCATAACCAGTGGCGGGGCAACATATTTTATGTTGACTACCTTATATATATATATATATATAAGTCTCTAAAAGTTATTATGATCTTCATTTATTATCAAAGTCTATTCAAATTAAAAACACCACTAACGCGTCCAAAACTAAAACAGCACAACTAAATTCAAACTCAAGAACGAACAACTGCATATAAACAGCACGTGTTACGTGATAGTACGCCACTGGAAATCCAAACCCTGTCAGCTGTTGAGTGTAGGTGCGCGGTTGCGTCGGGCTGGCAAATATTGGCGGCTTGTTCAAATAAGATCATAACCGGTGTCTGACCGGGTCTTAAACGATGCCAGAATGGTTACATTGCTAGCATACGGTACGCTCCCTCCGGTCTCTTCTACCTCCGTGTTGTACACTGATTGTACTACCTGGAACCCAAACTTAATTATTACGTCCATTTTCAATCTCAAATACAGCATTTGGCATCTTTAATAACGCTAAACCACGACTTAAGTCGCATAAACAATAATTTAGCACGCGGTAGAGTACTGACGACGAGTTGTTTATCCATGGCCGACTAATATAAAGAATAAAGATTATGGCCTGTCCAAGGGTACCATACGTGCTGCCATCTATTAATAATTAAAAAACGACAAAAGAATTATTAACACTTTTTGAAAGGCACAAAGGCATTCATACCTAAACAAACGACCATTACACGTTTTGAAGTCTCATAATGTTAAATCAAATAAAAATTTTGCTAAATTATTAAGTGTAATTATTAATAGATGGCAGCACGTATGGTACCTCTTGGACAGGCCATAATCTTTATACTAGTCGGCCATGGTTTATCTACCAAATATGCAAAGTTGGCTGCATGAGGGCGCTGATGCAAGATTTATGCTACACGCCTATATAAGTAGTTGTCGGCTAACGAAAACTAATGAAATTAATAATGATAAAAATGTAGTTATTGAAAGTTGAACACTCCAAAAATGTGGTTTCGTATTAATTTCGATAAATGTGGGACATCAGCAAATGCAAATACCAATTTACTCTTATCACTTGGGTGTTGAAAAGAGGTTTTTGACATACTTATTTATGCTCAGTTCTCTCCACAAACCTAAATACTGCGATCACATCACACATACGACTGCAACAACTGAATAATCACTAGGGCCATGCGGTTGAAATTTAAATGCTCCGTATTGCCTCCCACTACGGCAGACCAGTGGCTTGTACCCGATGTTACGTATCGCGAAGAAAATTGTGAGAAAACTAATATGAAGTGAACGTCGTTGATGATTTCGAAATCCACATCCACGAAATAGTAATAATAATGGTTTTAATAATTTTCAAGTGTCGGTCTCGTTGAAAATAAAACTATTTGTGTACATTATCAAAAATAATGCACAATTGGAAAGCGAGAAGAGAGTAAGGCAAGGCTGTAGCCTCCTGCACTGTGGACGGGTAGCGGGGATAAATAAATTTCGACCGCACAGCTCTAATAGTCACAAATACATTTTTGCAATTTAAGGAATGTATTTTAAATTTCGCACTAATTTAAGTCTCCTTCTATCATGATACTACCTATACAGTCCATCTTTTTTAAAAATGGCCATAGTGATTCCCATGTTAAATTTTATACCCCACGTTAACTTATGTTTGAATCAAAATTCAGAGCTGAAATTTTTACTGGATGTAGTATGAATTATCTTTTGTCGATTTTATTAAAAGTCATGCTTTAAATTGTGGTGACCGAATTTAAATCAAAATTTTCGCGCTGAAATTAATTAACAGCGGCGCGAAATCACACTCGAATAATTTGAATTTGAAGAAGAAAAAAAAATTCAATCAAAAAAGGAAATCGTTAAACATAGGCAACCAAATATGCACGTAGCGCTTAGGGGTTAGTTTGTATGATTATTGAGTTAGATTGCAGCACATTGCGCTAGGGAGTTTTTAGTTAGACGGTTGGTTGTTGGTTGATAGAGAAAAACTGCATGGCGTAGATTCATTCTGAATATGCTTGTGTGAGTGTAAATACGTGGTAAGCGCTAGGTTTAAATTAGTTGGTTTGGTAGTTAATAAAACGGGAGGAAGCCTTTGTTTAACAGCAATCAATCGTAACTGACGTCACTCTTGTTGTCCTCAACCCGCGCGGCTAATTTTTGCGACCTTTTTGATCGGAGAAATGCGGACTTCCGGCCGACAGGAAACACGTCCTGTAAATTTATTTCATTGTTTGTAAATTCACCAATCA